AGGTGTGAACTACTCTCTGCACAGTACCAGAGAGAGGTGTGAACTACTCTGCACAGTACCAGAGAGAGGTGTGTGTGTGTGTGTGAACTGGGTGCTGTTTATTGAATGGCTGTCTTGAAGGACTGCTTTGTGTTTCTGCCTCTAACTGCCATTCCTTTATCCCTGGACACTAGCAGGTTTTGATGCTTCCATCTCTTAGCTTGTTGAGTTCATCACCTCAACCTTCACAGCTTCCAACATGCCGATTGGTGTTACCAGGTCTCAGCAGCACCCCCCCCCCATCCTCAAACAGAAGTGCAAAGGAGGATGAGAATTAGGTATCAGTAAAAGATGAATCACATAGCTGAAGATCTAAAGTATTTCTATGCCAACTAAGAAAAATACTGGTCACAGATATTTCTTGGGGTTTGGAGGTTTCTCCAGGACTAAGGACTTGAAGACAATGCTACTGTCCTTTGCCAAATTCTGTAGCCAGATCACTGCTGCTATAATTATTGTCAACTGGATCAGAAGATTTCTGGCAGATCTAATAAAGTCAGCCTGGACATCCGACCCCTGTTTATTCCCAGAAAGTCATCAACTGAAAGCTGCAGTGTAGTCTTGGTGCCAAGCCCCAGCTTAAAGCCTGACTGATTACAGTCCAAGAAACAGGAGAGATCTTAGGAGATGTTGTGGTTGGCTGCTTTCCATCTGCTCAGATAATTCTACCCAAATAATGTGAGGGAGACAAGATCCTGTATCGGGAAGAATCATGAAAGAAGGAACTGGGCAGGTCCTGCTGGGGGTAGTTCTGTAACCTTGATTGTCAGTCTTCAGTGCCCAGTAAGGACCACCCTATCTCATATGGGAAAATAAATTAAAAAAAAACAACTCATTAATTAGGATGTATGGCTCAGGCCATCACCTGGGAGGCAGACAGGAAGAGAGCAGTGTCCCAGTGGGTGCATCTGCTTAATGTAGGCTGGATTGTAGGAGGCCAGAACCACTCTGCTCAGGCTGGGCTTCTGAATCCTGGTCTTCTGGATGCTCTACCTGAGCGTCCATTCTATGTAAACACTGCCAGGATCCAGTAGCTAGCACATCTAGGGTACTGTTCCTCTTCACTTTAGGGTTCACACACACAGGTGGGTGGGGCCTTCCTAGTCCCTTCTGCAATACCGACCTTGTCTCCTTTACAATCCTTCCTGTCTCTCCTGGTCTAGATGCCTAAGCACCAGTGATGATGCTACATTTCAACTCCCGAGAGCTAGCCCCAGTCATCCTGGTTTGGGAACTGTACCTCCACATCACAGGCTACTCTTGGTTGCTTGAGCTGCACAGTGAGCAGGTTGTTTTGCTTGGTGTCCTGTGCACAGTCGATCTCCGTGATGGGGAAGGCCTGTTGCTGTGTGTCCTCGCTGATGCTTACGACAAAGAGCACTTCAGATGTCAAGAGCAAGCACCCTTCGTGCTCCTGGCCTGAGCCCCTCACCAGGACTACATCCAGGGCCATGTGGACTTCTGGTCTACCCAGAGACTGAAGCATTTTCCTGTTTAAAAGGAAGGAAGTGGTCAGGAGCCATCCTGAAAAGCAGTCACAACAGCTTTCACTGTCTGTCAGTGATTGGGGCATGTCCCCTCAAAAACCAAGCCCTTCCCAAGGGCAGAGTGGACTGTTAACTTTAGCTTAATATTACAGTATTTCTGTATTTGCTACAGCTGGCTAAAAAAAATAGTGTCAATTCTTAAGTTGATTCTGGTCAGCAGAGCCTGGCTCCTGGAGAAGAGATTTTCTTATGCTTCATTTAGCTATTTTCTTCCTATCAGAAATGACACCCCCAATTAGAACTCTGGTTCCACAGGGAATTTTGATCCTTGTTGCAGGCCCAGACTTAATGGTGTGTATCCTTAAGAGATCCAAGTAGAGAAGATAATTTTGTCACCTTGTGTTGCCCAGGCTGGCCTTGAACTGACAATCCTGCCTTAGCATCTTATGCGCTATTGTGGTTCTACCACAGCCAGCCTGTGGAGCAGAGTTCTCTCTCCAGCTTCCCTCTAGGAAGAACAGCCTTTCCCTAAAACGATGCTGTCGAAACCAGCTGGTCCTTTGGTCTCCAGTAGCAAGAGAGCAAACCAAGGTGCAGTGTGAATGTAAACGGAGTGAGGGGTTCAAGAATTTTACCAGACATATTTGACGTGGCTGTTTGGAGCTTGGTCAGCATGAAGATCTCTTGGTTGGTACCGTTGTTTGGGAAGCTGAGAAAGTCCGGCTCCATGTAAAATACCTGTGGTGTGAGAGGCAAAGGAGCTGTACTGATTTTCTGGAAAACAGTTCTCTGCTATAGTGATGTTATCTTATAGCTATCCATAAAATGTTACAGATTCAAGATAAGTCACATCTCTGGAAATAAGTTTATAGATAACCATTAAACCACTGCTTTCACAGGGGTTACCGAAGACCATCAGAAAACACAGGTATTTACATTACGATTCATAACAGTAGCAAAATTACAGTTAGGAAGCAGCAACAAAAATAATTTTATGGTTGGGATCACCACAACATGAGGAACTGTATTATAGGGTCACAGCATTAGGAAGGTTGAGAACCACTGACTTAGAGGAAGCATGATGCTAAGAGAAAACTGGTCATCAACGGTATCTTACATGTCATTTAAGACTTACATGTTTTAAAAGTCACTGTTACTTGGCTTTGCTGCTTAATACAGTATTTCTATACCTGTTATGACTGGCCGAAAACAACAAAACCAAAAGCACATACAAAGGCACACGGTTTGCCCAGATAGAGTATTTAAATTTAAATGACTTAATCCAGCTGTTAAACAAGATTCTGTATACATTTATGAGTGCTCTTGGGGCCTCTGGTTTATTACATGCTTTCACTGGTGCCAGGACCAAATGAGGGCACCCAGCAGCAGCCACATAAGCCTCCAAAGAGACTCCAGAACCAAAGATGGTACAGCGTGTGTGCTTTCGGAGGGCTTGTAAATGTTTATAAACGAGGCATAGTCATTAGACTAAGAGTTAGTGGTTTGTAAAACCTTCAGTGTGGTCATAAAAGTTTTACAAGAGTGATGGAAACCAAAAAGGCCATGTGAAGCTCTGCTCTGAGACGCTCTTACATAAGTTCCTAAGCCTGGGAAACATGTAAGAGACAATGGCATTTTAAACCCCAGCAGCTTATGAAGTACGAGTTGTTACCCCACTTGGGTTTGGAGCAAAAAGAACACTTTTTCTTAATAAGTAAGGGAGAGTTGAACCTCTTCCACCTCTGAGCTGTAGCAATTTGTACGGTCAGTTTCCCTGTGAGTGACCTGCTGCCCACAGGGGATTGGAGTGGAGAGCGGAGCAGAAGCATGGCTGCCAGTGTGGCTCTCAAAGGGTGCTCTGGATAGTGTGTGTGATGAGGCTGTCTTGTCAGAACTCAGGTACAGGTTTCCTGCAGTGAAATGTGTCCTGACTGTCTGGCCAGATGCAGACACAGAATATGCTGTCTGACAAGTGGGTGGCACCTCCTATGGCCTGAAATGCCAGCTCATTTGCCAGTTGCATGGCCAAAGGATGCCATCAAGTTTAAGTAAAAAGGTAATTCTAGTCACATGTTTACTGCAAGGTACTTTAACGTGTTCTGCCAAGAGGTGCTTCCTTTCCACACCATCCATTATGCACTTGTACACGGCACATTTGGGGAGATGGCCTGGCCCTCTGCCCCAGGCCTCCCAGCGTCTGCTCGGGGCAAGGCATTTTAGCTGCACACCATGTGCCTCTGCTCTCATTGGCCAGGAGACTCAACTGGAAAAATGCAGATGACTCCCAAAGATGGGTGTGCATGCCCTCTCCTGCTCTCCATAGTCAACAGGCACAGATGTCTTCCTGACTTAAGACCTGTTTGTCCCAATTTATCATGTGAAAAGTAATCTGTTGCCATACTGTTGGAAACTTCTAACTGGTTACTTTTTATTAAAATCTGTTAAGTGTACTGTAAAAAAAAAAAGTGGGGGGGGGATGAAATATTTGAAATTACTCACTGATGTTACTAATTGGCAGTAGTCATACTCTGTAAATAAACATTAGGATACAAAAAGATAGCTACTACTTTCCATTTTATTCCTCATCCCTTGCTCATGTGAAAGGCTAGATTCAGAGGACCTGAGTAGGAATGTGCACTAGTCATAAGATCTCAGTTGGGGATCTCCTTTAACCTACTCACCATAGCCAGTCTGCGACACAAGCTCTGCAGCGCCCCCAATGGGCTTGGTGAATACCCCCATGATTCCTTTCCCCACACCCGAGATGACACCCTTGGCCTTATGTCCTGCGGAAGCCTGGGTCTCGGATGTTTTCTGGAAGTTCTGCATTGGCTGATCAACTATACCAGCAATAGCACCTGAAATGACAAAAGGTTTCGAGTGAGGACAGAGGCTTAAAATCTTCAGATTATGAAAAACCTCAATCTGGAACTCGGTTTAATCTGGACTGAAAATGAATCCCTGCCCTCATTATAATGTTTTATTCACCAATAATCTATATTAAAGAACATTTACACTAGATGTTTTCTTCATCAAAACAATGCTTAGCTTGGGTTTGGTTCATAAGTCAGGATCTAGAAACTTGAGACTTCTGGAGTGTTATCTGTGGTAGTACTTTCTCATCGGGACCACCAGCCCACAAATAATGACACAAAGACTTATTAATTATAAAAGCTTGCCCTTAGCTTAGGCTTGTTCCTAACTAGTTCTTATACTTAACTCATCTTTTAATCTACCTTCTTCCACCTGACTCGTTACCTCATCTCCTTACAGACCATCCTGCTTCCTCGTTGTCTGGCTGGCAACTACGCCTTTCTTTTTCCCAGAGTTCTCTCTCTGCCCATAAGTCCCGCCTATATTCTCCTGCCTAGCTATTGGCTGTTCAGCTTTTTATTACACCAATCATAGCAATACTTCTTCATATAGTGTACAGATATCCCACAACAGTTACCCATGTGCCTTTCTGCAGAAAGAACACATTTTTGGGAGAAAGCATTGCCTCGAGAGCCTGCAGAGCCCAATAAACTTAACTGGAAGGTGATCAGCCCCTTTCTGTGCCCTCATTTTTGTGTGTGGGTAGGGAGAGGTGCCTCTGGAGGCACAGGGAGGTGTCAGGTGTTCTCTCTGGTGCTCTCTGCCTGAGGTTTCGGCTAGGCTGGTTGCCCAGTGAGGGCCCAGGATCTACCTGCTCTGTTGCTGGGGTTATAGTTATGTAGTTATGCCCTGCTCCTTCACATAAGTGCTGGGAATTTCAGCTCAGGTCCTCAGGATTTCACGGCCACCACTCTTAATCACTGGCCCCTCTCTCCCTTGCCTTAAAACAATGATTTTGTATTAATTCAATATTATCATTTAATATTTACTTAGGAAAAGTAGTCATCGGCAGATGATTTCTGTTATAGCCCGTCTATTGAGTGCTCATGAACTGAGCACTGTACAAAGGACTCCACCCGATGAGGTCATTCAATAACCATCATCCCATGAGTAAGGCAAACAGACACAGAGAAGTTAAGGGATCTTCCCAAGGTCACAAACTGCTGAGTGGTTGGGCCTTGATCTGAGTCCAAGGAGTTTGGGCTATTTGCTCACCCAGTTTATCAAAAGGCTCTTCTCTCCTTTTCCATATTGAAAAAACTACATTCTTTCTCACTTTAGCTGAGGTTTGGTTACACTCTTGACTTTGGAATAGCTATTAAAACACTACTTGCTTCACAAATTGCTGTACAGCTTTACCTTTGCAGCCCCCATTTTTTTTTTTAAACTGAGCTTGAAGGTGGTTACAAATGAAAGGCATCCCTCCGCCACTCATTTTTAGATCCTCTAACT